CCCGGGTTTGGGGAGCCCCGCTGTCGAAATAAGAACTCTGGTAGCTCCTCGGCCCGTCTCTGTGGTTCTGATGGGTTTGGAGGGTTCTCGGTGCTTTCTTTGGTTCGGAAGGGGAAATAAGATACTGACCTCGCAGAGGTCCACCGGGAACAAGAAGATAGAAAGCTGGAGGTGCGATAATAAATAACCTTGTAGTGCGCTTGTTTATTTATCTCTTTTGCTGATAGGGATTTGTCTCAGCACTTCCTGGACGTGCTAAGCAAGCATGCGCTGGGCTCCTGAGTTATCCCAGGAGCATTTGTTGTGCTTTTGTTTGTGTGTGTGTGTGTGTTTTTTTTTTACATTGTAGAAATACTCCAGCACTTCTATTTTGTATGAGGCAATGTGGGCTGGCCAGGACCTAGTGATCCTCTTGCTTCATCATCCCAAGTGCTGATGTTAGCACTGCCATGCTCCCTCCAGTCATCGTATTCATAAAAATGTGGACTCACTCCCCGCATCTCCTCCTTACCTCCCCCCCCCCAGCTTTTTATGTTTTGGCTATTATTCTTTCGACTTCTTTCAACATATATTTATTGGGTAGTATTTTTCTTGCTAGGCCTTGTGTTGTGATGCACGCTTGGGAGTGAGAAGGTACACACACACACCACACACACACACACACACACACACCACACACACACACACACACACACACACACGTCCTACACTCTAGTTGGGGGATTGGGGGAAGCACTTGACTTAGAACCCAGTAGCCTTGGAGTCTGGCAACTAAATCTCCACCTAAGACAAGTCACACTTGTTCTACATTCTTTCTGTTCTGTCTTACAGTTCCACACAGAGCCCTGCCGAGAGTGAGAATACAATCTTTTGTTCTGTGGTTATACTTAGAAGATAGCATGCAAGCTAGATTTTCCTACAACTCTTGTTTTTCTTTGCAGATTTTTTTATTTGAATTAGAAACAAGATTGTTTTACATGTCAATCCCAGTTCCCTCTCCCTCCCTTCCTCCCCTACCAATCCCCCCCCAACTAAAACCCTACCTATCACATATTCTTACAACTTTTTTTTTTTTTTTTAAGATTTATTTACTTATTTATAATGTATACAGTGCTGGCCAGAAGAGGGCACCAAATCACATTACCGATGGTTGTGAGCCACCATGTGGTTGCTGGGAATTGAACTCAGAACCTCTGGAAGAACAGTCAGTGCTCTTAACCCCTGAGCCTTCTCGCCACCCCCTCCTACAACTCTTAATGCTGCCACTGCTAACAGAGAACTTTGACAAAGAATTTATGGACATTTACTTACTGTTTGCTGGAAAACATGTCATTATTAAAATACATTCCTCCTTTATTTTTCATCCTCAGTGAGACTCTATAGCAGTGGTTTTAAACCTGTGGATTGAGACCCCTTTGGAAGTCAAATGACTCTTTCACAGGGGTTGTCTGAGACCATGGGAAAGCACAAATATTTATATAATAATTCACAATAGCAGCAAAGTTACAGTTATGAAGTAGCAATAAAAGTAATTTTGTGGTTGGGGGTCACCACAACATGAGGAACTGTATTAAAGGGTCACAGCATTAGGAAGGTTGAGAACTACAGCTCCATAGTTATTGCCTAGTTACTTATTTACCATCCACAATGCCAAAATTAGGTAACCTTGGAGAGTATGCCTTAACCAGTGGAGACTTGCATTGCTCTTTTGGGTCAGTTAATTCCAGTTATTTTCATATATGCTTGAATGATTTTATGTAGGCTGAACTACTTAAAAATGAATTCACAGGGCTGGAGTGATGTCTCACTGTTCTTGCCAAGGATCCATGTTCAGTTCCTAGCACCCACGTTGGGTGACTCACAATTCCCTGTAACTCCAGCTTCAGGAAAGACCTCTGGGTCTCCTTGGACACCTGCAGTGAAATGTACATACATACATACAGATACACATACATTAGAAAAATAATAGCTGGAGCAGGGGTGGGGGTTGGCAGTAGTGCACGCCTTTAATCCCAGCACTTGGGAGGCAGAGGCAAGTGAATTTCTGTGAGTTCCAGGACAGCCTGGTCTATAGAGTTTCAGGACAGCCAGAGCTGTTACACAGAGAAACCCTGTCTCAAAAAAAAAAACAAAAAAAACAAAAAACAAAAAATAAAAAATAAACGAGAAATGATAAAAAGTGAATTGGGCTGAGTCCTCTTTAGTTCTCCTGGTGATGACTCTTGACAGTCCCCTTCCACTTCCTATAATTGGGTCATATATAACTGCTTAGTAGCTAGTTCTGTGACAGAAATATCTTGGAGAGGAAGACAGAGCAGTCCTCTACTCAGCACCTAAACTAGACTGTAAAGTTTCCATGGCTGAAAGCTTTCAGTATGTTAGTACATTTAGTAAGTTTGCAGTCACTGACTGCTGTGAAAAAGGTGATCTAGAAGGTCTCATATTGACGTAGACTTTGGTGAATTGATTCTTTTGACTTTAGGAAGACCATCACTGTCGTCTGAAGTTGGGATAATAATATGTGATGTCTGCAATCCAGCCTCGCTTGATGAGATGGCTAAAAAGGCAGTGCTTGTCCTCAACTGCGTAGGACCTGTAAGTAATCAACCCCTCTTTGTGTCAGAACAAACAATCCTTTCATTTCCAGCAAAGGCTGGTATTTTATATTCCAGAGGAAAATAAGGGAAGAAGGCCTTAATTCCATAGGGAGTCTTTTGATTGATAGGACCAAAGTCTTCCAAAATAGTGTCAGGCTTTTTGTGACACTGTTTTTGGAGAATGTGCTGATTGGATCCCCCTACCCTCCTACTTTTTTAATGTAAAAAAAAAAAAAAGTTTGATGAACCAGGAAGATGAGTTTAGTCTCCAAGACCTACACAGTGGAAGGAGAGAACTGATCCCTGAAAGTTATCCTCTGATCTGCAGAGGACAACAGAGTCTACAGAGTCAGTTCCAGGGATAAGCAGAGAGATCCTGTCTCAAAAAAAAAAAAAAAAAAAAAAAAAAAAGGAAAGGAAAACATCACTTCTAAACTTTTGACCTTTACAAGAGGGCTGTTGATAGTATTTACTGATCTGAAGAAGCCATCATAATTGGCAATATATTGGAAAGCTAAACATCTAAAATGTTAATGTTTATATTTTTCTTGTTAACTAGCTTAGATTATACCAAGTACATTGCTGTAATCAGTGCAACACTGAACAACAACTCCTTTGTTCTTCTTTGTTTAGTACTATAGCAAAATCCCAACCCTGGATAGTCTGACTGAAATTCCTCACCTGAACATGAGCCCCTCTGTGCCAATTGGTCCTGCATTGAATCAAACAGTTACAAGCACTGTTTTGAGTCCCACACCCCAGATCGTCTGTTTCCCCTGGCTGTTCTCATCTACTCTGAAGCAGTCTGGGGGTTCATAACTCTTCCTTTACACTCTGACTCATTCCCTCATTCTTACCTGATTCTTTCCAGCCCCTCCCTCCTTCCCTTCCCTTCTCCATCCCTTCCTTTCTATCTTTGAAAGGATATTGTGGTGCAGCCCAGGTTATCCTCAAATCACAACCATCTAGCCACAGTTTCTCCTGACTCCTAGGATTATAGGCATGAGCTCTTTTTGCCTATGAAACTAGAAACCTCCAGGACAGAATTTCTTTGTCTTCATGCTACCAGATCTGCTTATTGACTTGCCTGCCTCCACCTCGTCACAAGGAAAAACTCTTGTGCCTATGCGCACAACATTTGAAGGCTTTGTGTTTATAATTACATGTCTTATCTTTATTGGATTTGTTCTTGTTAAGATAATATTGCTGTGACAGTGTGGTGTGTGTGTGCTCACAGGCCAGAAGAGGCCAGATCATGGTGGCATGGGAGATTTCCATACACACATACAGTGCCACAGTGACAACATGAATTAGTCATTTTCTAGGGTGATTCGGGTGATTGTGAGGTCCCTGTTGGGTTTTCTCTTTCAGTACTTAAGTGATTATGTCACTCACCTTGATTTCATAAACCCTTTTAACTGTCCTATTTTTGTGTGTCCCTGTGTAAAGCAAGCTTCTTAGAAGAGTTCTGTTGCCTCCTGCACTCCTACTCTAACCAGCTCTCGCCGGGCTCTTGCCCTCTCTCTCTTTTGCCCTTTCTCTCTCTTTTGCCCTCTCTCTCTTTTGCCCTCTCTCTCTTTTGCCCTCTCTCTCTTTTGCCCTCTCTCTCTTTTGCCCTCTCTCTCTTTTGCCCTCTCTCTCTTTTGCCCTCTTCCTCTCTCTCTCTTTTGCCCCCTCTCTCTCTCTTTTGCCCCATCTCTCTTTTGCCCCCTCTCTCTTTTGCCTTCTCTCTCTTTTGCCCTCTCTTCTCTTTTGCCCTCTCTCTCTTTTGCCCCCCTCTTTTGTCCTCTCTCTCTCTTTTGTCCTCGCTCTCTCTTGCTCTCTCTCTCTTGCTCTCTCTCTTTTGCCCTCTCTCTCTCTTTTGCCCCCTCTCTCTCTTTTGCCC